AAGCAGGCGTTTTTGCTTTTGCTGCTGGCTTTGATCCCAAAGATAAATTTGATAAGGCTCTTACTAGTGTTCACGCTCCTATCCCTGGATATGAGGAAAAGTTGAAGAAATCGATGAACCGCTTCTTCGACCGTCTTAACCCATATGAGATGGTTACAAGATCCAACTTCTCTATTCAGGCTCATGACAAGTACTATGTTGATAACGACAACAAAGGCTATCATAACGACTACAGCACAGAAGCGCCCACATTTGACGAAAAAGAATTACATTACCGCAGTGAGCGTCAAGTTCTCACAAAGTTGCCTGAATCTGGAGCCATTGTTTTCACCATCAGAACTTACCTTCACCCATTTAAATTGTTTGCCGATCAATATCCAGAGGATGGTCGTCGTCTTGCAGGTGCCATTCGCTATTTGCCACAGGACATGGCCAATTACAAGGGTGCCGAAAAATGGGGTGACTCTGCTAAATTGTACCTTGATCGCTTATAAGAAAATTATAGATTTTCGATTTCTTCCTTGATCTCCTCCCAGATATCAATGGTTTTCTTGGCCCATGACATGAGTATGCTGTTGTAGCTGAGCAAGATTTGGAAGATCGTTTTGAGTTCTCTGTTCTGAAACCGCTTCGTGTTCTTCTCCAACTCAGTGCTGATATAAGCGATATCCTGAAGCATGATTGTCTGACAATTCTCTAACACAACAATCTTCTTCTGTAAATAGTCGATGCGATTTTTCTTCGTTTCCTCCGGGTTCTGGTCAATGATGTCAGAAACATACTTCGTCAACTTTTTGAGTGATCCCATGTTTGGGAATAAGCCCAGTCTCTCACGAGCAACGCCTGCTGAAGACGTTTCTTCGCTGCTCAAGCTCACAGGCTGTGGTACATTGTGACCATTTTGGCCATTCTCTCCATGCTTCGAAAGCTGTGACAACTCTTTTTTCTTGTCATGTAATTCTTGATCTATCACCTCTTTTTGATTGGCTTTACGGGCTTGAAAGCGGTTAACAGAGCTAAGAATAGCATCATATCTCACAGCCTCTCCTAGTGGTTCTGAAAATTTCGTTTCCAGCTCGCTGACAAGAGCATTGATAGCAATATAGGATCTGTCAAAGGCCATGCCAATTTTGTCGACAAGAACGTCAAGCTTTGCGTCATCCTCCTCTGGACTCTTACCAACCCTTGCTTTCAGCGAGTCCGCCAACATCAACGAGAACGAATTGAGTGCACTGCCAAGCTCCACATAGTCATTTGACAACCCAATGAAGCTTTCCATGATTTTCTTGTTGATGTTATCCAAGCTAGAAGTCTTGAATTTTATCGGACGAGACTCGGGAGATTCCGTCGGCAGACCTTGTTCTTGTGCGCCATTCGGCAGTGGTTCCTGTGTTGTTTCGGCTCCACTACCGAGGAAACGACTTGTTGTATGCGTTAGGAATTTGCTGTTGTTCTTGAGCGGTTTGAGAAATTGGAAGCTCAAACCATGCTGGGTTGAGGGTAGTGGTAGGGAAGAATAAACTTCAGATGTCTTCAAGCCATTTTCAGGGTTCAGCTGATAAATTGACTTCGGTAGTTGACTTGAGATAAGATCAATTTCATCGGACCAGTTGGCTGAGGGATCGAGGAATTTGGCGAAGAACTCGAGGTTCCTGACCTGCGGAATACCGAGACAATTGTTCAAAAAATTCGAAAGAAGTCGCTTGCGGTGCTCAACGAGTTTATTCTTGTTGAGATGCTTCGAATTGATGTATGTGTATGAGGTGACGTTGCTGTTCTCGTTCGGAGACTCGGAAGGACTCGATGCTTGTGCGTTACCATTTCCGTTTCCCACAAGTCCATTGAACATGTTCAATGAGAAGTAATTCTTTGGCGGGATGGGCGGAATAAGTAGTAGCGGGTACACCCGTGTAAGAACATCTCGTAAGCTCTCGAAGTCAGAGTACCGTCTCCTCGTCTGTACCTCCTCTTTCGTATTGTCCTTGTTGACTAGCTTGATGGTGTAAACAACGTACTTCTTCGACGAATTGGGCATGCCTTCATTCGACTTCCCGGCTTCGCTTATCAAAATCTTGGCGTTGCTTTCAGGACTGAGGAGCTTCGTTACCCTGCTCTCATAGTTGATATGCACCGTGTTGAACTGCTCACCTTCACTTCTGTAAAGCAACATGGACTCGTCTTCCATATCGTCCTCGACAATGTCATTATCTGTAGCTTCGTGGCTTTTAAAAGCGTTATTCTGTGCCTTTTTGCCATTGCTTTTGCCACTTCTCTTATCGGGCCCCTGGGACTGGATAAGGCTTGCAAGTGCCAGCAGGTGCTGAAAGGGGCTATTGTCTTCATCGCTGAATACAGATGCATCAACGTGTTCCGACATCTTGAAAAAGGATATCAATTAATAATCGTGCTTCTTGTATCTTGGTAGCTGCAGATTGAAGTGGTGGTAGTTAACCTGGGGGTGCACCGAGGTGGGGGATCCGTACACCTGGTCGATAAGCCTTGGTCGGAGCAGATGGACCAGAAGGATAAAATTGAATTTGACGGGGGATGTGAAAAGAGGTTCAAAGAAGTCCGTTTGGAAATTCTCTCCAGTGAATTTGAGGTATCTTCTGGTGACTTTTGTTTTGGAGCGGGGGGTCTCGAGAATCTGGGGTCAGGGTCTACTCCATAGGTAACTTCTGGTACCCTGTCCGGAGGTCATGCGAGGGTAGGAAATTATATTTTTGCGAGGCATTTTAAAAATACGTCGGTATTTAGAAATAAATTAAATGGGTACTGTTGTATAGTGCATTACCAGGTTGTCAAACCCTCAAATAGGTAAGTCCTACCGGCATTCTCTTGCGTCGAGGCACCGATTAACACCGGGTTGATACTCGGGCAATCGAATCGCATTTCATTTTGATGGCTTTTACTTGAGCCTCGGGGTATGAGATCCTTAAACTTGTCAGTTGTCGAATTAAAAAGATCTATATCTATTCGTGCCACGAAATTATCAGTTTGTTAATTGTTCCATGCGTTATTGTTCTCGTTCTCACTACCATTTCGCCAATACGGAAAACACCCAATCCGCTTCCAAATTGACCAAACATTATCGGCCGTCAGCAATCACATAGCATCACTTGAAAATAAAGATAAAACCAGATTTTGTGTAAAATTTTCATTTTTTATCCGACCCTGTAACCCAAACTCATCAGACCTTTGGGCGCTGAGCATACACCATTCCCACCAAAACACATTCTTATTCACCGCCTTGCCATTTTTGAAACAAAAGCATCCAAGAACTGAAGACTCTGTCATTTTCCTAGCACCACTTGCAAAACACGGAACTGAACATCTTCTACACGTGACTTGTCACTCAACTTGTGTAGATCGCGAATGCCGACTATCGACAGTCTTTTCACCAGAGCCGATCCTCTTCCAAATTCAGGATGGCTATTACAGAACTCAATAGTACAAGCAACGCCAGCGTTGCTTCTCAAGAGAAAGCATCAAAAACGAAAATCATCTATGTGGGTTTGCTTTTTCTCCTTTCATTACTAGCATTCTTGTGCCAGACAGAGTTCACCTCCCAGGCATACAAGCTCGGATTCAAGGAGCCCATCATCCTTTTACTTGTTACCCACGGCTCATGGTGGACTTTGTGGCCTCTTCAGGCTTTTTTCGTTTCCGTGGGTAGAACCATCGGCAAGGCTAAAAATAGCAGAGGCGTACGCTATGAAAGACTAAATTCTAATGCTTTCCTTTTAGAAAACGAGGCCGGTGCTCCACAGGAGAACAACCCGCCTGTCTCGAAGTTCCACCCATGGGGTTACTTCAAAAGATGTATCGTTAAGCAAGTGCATAACGTCTACCATTCCTCCATCTTGGTGTATGAGCCTAACGTCAACGGAGACAAAAGTACCAGCAATTTGGGCGCTTTGGTGGAGAAGAATCCTCACATTTCGTCATCCAGTTCAGTCTCTGCGTGTATACGTTCGTTTGTTGCAACACCATCATTCAAGTATGTTGCCATTAAGGTGGGCTTGATCTCTTTGGTTCTCAACATCGCAGGATTCACTTGGTATGGCGCTATGGCCATGACCTACGCGTCTGACGTGACCGCTATCTACAACTGTTCTGCTTTCACAGCATATGCTTTCGCCATCCCAATGTTGAATGAAAAGTTTTCGTGGCTTAAAGCCCTGTCTGTGATTATCGCAATTGCAGGTGTCTTCGTGGTGGCTTATTCAGGCTCAGACTCTTCGTCAGATGCCGAAGAACAATACCCATACAGATTCTGGGGTAACTTAATTATCTCTGTGGGCGCCGTCATGTACGGTTACTACGAGGTTTTGTACAAGAAGTACGTGTGTGTTCCTCACCACTTGTCTGTCGTTGTTACACCTAGACGCCAGCTGACTTTCTCCAACTTTGTCATGTCACTCTTGGGCGTCTTCACTGTGCTCTTCTTGCTCACGTTGGTGCTCTTGACCGAACTCTTCCACATCCACCATTTCAACGTTTTTGACTACGGTGAGAAGACGGGTATTATTTGGTTGTATATTTCTGGTTCCATCGTCTCCAACTTACTATTCAGTGCTGCATTCCTTTCCTTGATGGCCTTGACTTCGCCCGTGTTGTCCTCAGTGAGTTCGTTGGTTACCATCTTTTTGATTGGTGTGGTTGAGTGGGTCATGTTTGGCAATGCTCTTAGCGTCATGCAATTGATTGGTGATGCGTTAGTCATTGTGGGTTTTGTAATTCTTACCATTGCGTCCTGGAAGGAAATTAGTGAGGGTAATGATGATGACGAAATTGAATCTGCTTCGCTATACTCGTTTGCTGCCAGCGAGGATACTAGCAACTAAACGAACTAGTTAGCGAGCTTCATGGTCCTGATATCATTCACAAGACCATCGTTTTGTTCATGAGGTGTCGTAAGTTCGTTATGGCCTCCGCCCTGGTGGCTCGAGGCATGCATCATAAAATTTGCATCGGTAGCATCATTCGTTTTGCGTTTCTTAGACGAGGCTGGGTCTGCCTGTCGTGGACCGTGTGTTTCGTGTGAAGTGGACTCGCCAAAAAGGGCATCTAGTTTTCCGTAGGCATCGGATTCTAAGAAATCGAAATGGGGTATCACACCTGTAAGGCTTGAACAGAAGCAAAGTTTCTTCTCATTGCTATCGCTGAGCTTGTATATGACGACAGTGCCGTCAATAGTGGTGGCCACCAAATAGACAGGTAAAAACCTTGATAATCTGCTGAGCCGGGATACCTTCGAGGTAGTCTCACTGCAAGTGTAGATTTGTGAGGATAGAGTCGGACCAATGCGAAGGTAATCAAAAAAGTTCACCACTTCAAAAGTTTCAATATCGATGACACCTGCTTTGGACATCGAATCCGTGTAGAACAAGTATTGTCCACAATTGAAAACTTTCAACTGGTTGATGCAAAACTGAGATAATTGCAAGACTCTGTCTGGTCGCAGTTCAAACTTGTAAGGCTTGGACATGTTGTAAACGAACAAGTCACCAAACTGAGTTCCTGCAAACACCAAGCGGGAAGATCCTTGCTTCCAAAAAGCAACACTCAGCACCCAGTAGGCACAAGTATCTCCTTTAGTCAGGTGAGGGTTCACCGAAGTATCAGAAACGGGCACAAGTCTTCGAACGTCCACGAATGAATGACGTATCAGGGAGCTTCTCCTAAGCAAGGAGTGACCCTCTGGTACCGATGAGACAAGGCCCATCCTTGTCAAGTGTCCACCCAAATTGGCAAAGTCCTCAAAATTGGACTTGAAGTCACTCGCAGCAAAATCGAAATCGTAAATCTTCAAACTGTTTCCCTTCCCGCCAGCGGCAACAACAATGTGTGTAGAACGAGGAATGACCTCTATGCTGATGCACGATAACGGGCCGTCGATGACAAACAGCTTCACCGAGTCATCCGCATCGTCATTGATCAAATCCCGTATCACCAACTTTCCTTCTCCAGAGCAGGTATACATATACTGATTTCGGAACGCACCGACCCCGATAATGGGGTCCCGTGGTCCTGTAGTGGAGTTCTTCCACTCCTTGACAAGCTTGTAGGTACAACTTCCGGAGTTGTCTGACCCTGAGGGCTTCAACATCTTCTCATACAACTGAACAAGCCCTGCACTTCTAGCAACAGCGATATACTGCTTATTCAATATTGGGAACACATGGATTTTCTGAACAAAGTTGGAGCGGCCACCTATGCCAAACTCACCCTTGTGACTTACTCTGATCCGGTCTTTTTCTTGCTTGACACGCAAGACTGATGTTAGAAGTTTGAAACACGATGGGCTATAATCTCACATACCTCGAAGACTGCCACTGCTTTGCAGTGACAAGAGCAAATACATGGGTGGTGGAATAGCAAAAGCGGTACAAGGGTTATAAGGTCTTGGTAGCAGTGAAGAGTGCATTTTGTGGGGTGCGATCTTGTGCCGCAGTAGGGAGTCCGAGATTTGGACACTCAAAGAAGAAACTGAAGGAGATATGCATACATTGAATCCAGACAATTTTGGCGTGATTTCCGTGTAATTATTATATGGATGAGTAAAATGTTGGTGATACAAATGAGTGACCTTTCATCGCTCGCTGTGGCATTCTTCCATATTTGGCTGCGAAACGGAACCCGGACAATGAAGGGTATCCTGAATCAAGTGGAGAGATGGCCTTTGCCACGTACTGGCTTGACAATGCGTAAATTCAATCCAAACTTGGGCGATTTTGGCGAGTCCTGCTCGTGCTCTTCGTTTGGTGAAGTCACATTGTCGTGGTGTATAACTGTAGCTTCGGCATTAGCTGCGGCGTGCAAACTCTCGAGCACGTTACTTCCTGTTCCATCTTGCATTCGTCCTTCCAGAAGTCGTTGTGTCTCGAGCTTGTCTTGAAGCTTTTTAAGCTTGCTATCGAAATGTTGGCTCTCCAGCTGCACGTGTGCCTGTTGTTCGCCCAAGAGGGCTCGGAGTTTGTCAATCTTCACATCTCGCGACTCTATGATCTTTTCGCTGATAAGAAGGTGTTTCCGTAGATTCTCATTTATGAGCTCAACGTCGCTTAGTTTGTCGTTGAGTCTGTGTAGGGCGGTCTCCAATTTAAAAAGCTTCAGGTCTTCCTCGTGCTGCTGTTTCACTTGGCTCATCTTCATGTCTAAAAGCTGCTTTTCGAGACTTTCGATCTTCTTATTCTTCCTTTGAATATCGTCTGCCAGTGAAGATGGGCGATCGGAAGCCATCGAGATAGTGGTGCTTCCTCGCGGGCTTAGTAGACTGACATTCGGACTGAAGCCTGGCGTCGACTTCTTCGTGACTTGGTCTTCTAGTGTTCTATTCATCTGCTCAAGCATCTTCACCCGCGCCTTGAGCCAGTCAACTGACGGTTCAGTGTTGATGTGGGCGGTGTTCTTGATCTTCTTTGCACGGGAGCCGAATCTTAGTGTGGAGAGTGTTTCGGCTGCGTCTGCTGAACCTGGTGCAATACTAATGACGAGAGTTGTCCTGGAGTTACCGCCAAGAGATTCTTGCAAGATTCGAGTCAACTTGGAGTCTCTGTAAGGAACGTGGGTGGCGGTGGGGTCTGTTAAAGAGTTTATCACTTGACCGAGGGAAGAAAGAGACAAGTTGATTTTCTTCGCCTCTTCAAGCCCCTGGCCAGTGGCCCCTGTGCGGTCGATCTTCTCGGATCCGGCCAAGTCGACCAAAAATAAATTGGATCGTGTGAGCTCTCCTTCAACGGACTTTTGCGAAAGTACTATTCTGAAAATGACATGAGAGCGTGACAGGTCTGTGTTCATATGCGTTCTGGAGACACAACGGTTGTTGTTACCTAGCTTGACAACCTCTTCGAGTTCTTTCTCTGTGGACACGAACGCATGAGATAGCCCCTTAACGTAAACACCGTTATCCTTATCTTCGTGGATTGCAAACTCTGTCGCCTGCGGATTCAATAGGTCTTTTATTTGTTCCATGTGAATCTCCATGCACGAGACCTCTACAGTGTGCTCAATGTCTGGCGAGGCCCCCTCGATCTGGGAAAATAGATGCTGACTGACCCTGGGGATTATTCCAGGCGAATGGCGTGGACCAAACATTGTGTGCGTTTTTCCAGCACCTGTTTGTCCATAGGCAAATATCGTACCATTAAACCCCTTCAAGATATCGTCAACAGCCTGGGCAGCCACCAATTGGTAAAAGTCCTCCTGCGAGGTTGTGGCATCACAGACCCTATCGAATGAAAACACATTCAGTGCCTCCTTGTGGTTTATACACAAGGTCTGCTCATCAATGATCTCCACGGGAGAATCATTGGCTCTTTGGAATCGTACATCTTCAGGGGGCCGAAGTCGGCACACTACCTGAACATGGTTCACAGAGTCCCTCAGTGACGTTCGTGTCATCGGGGTCATTGAAATAGATGACGGCCCCGTTGGCGTCCGTGGCGGAGGCGAGGTGACCGACATAGTGGAGGATGAATATGTGGAAGGCTAGGAGCCTCAGGTTCAGGGTTCAAGGGTTCTGTCACGTTAAACGGGGCAGATCAATATTGATCTGGGAGTGCAGAGACCTCGGGCACCCCCCAGCGCGGCTCTAAAATGGCCATAATGCGCTTGGGGACCGTGTTGTGGAGTTAGGGAATGTATTTTCTTGAAATGGTGGAGAAGAAGAGATTTACAGAGGTTTTGTGGAATTTTTATAAATTCGTATCACAGAGTGCTTTGGTTGATGCAACCGTGTAAGTTGACGGTGATTGTTCCGGTGCGCAGAGATAAAGCCAAAAGCTAAAAGTAGGGCTTCGACAGAGATGCTGATTGCGTCACAATGTTGTAGCATGGGGCTTCTGTAAATCCAGTGTTAGACTGTTCGTTTAAAAAAGGAAAATTACTCTTTAATGGTCCCCCCTTGAGGTTTTCCGTCTCACGACACCCCTTCAAGAAGCAGATAACGATAGGGGAACTGATTTTTCAGAGATTGCTGAATAATTGCAATAACATGATTGGGCCAAGCTGGTGTTCATACCGTTTGAGGCTTTGCAGGTGAGCCCCGCAGACTATGCTCCACCCCCTCCATCGATTTCGCAGCCACACAAGGTACGCTAATGCCAACCTAGAAGTAAAGCACGCTGGCCAGAGAATGAGGCAGAGAACTCCGCACATCCATCAGGTCGAATGCAGTTTAGTAATATGAATGGAAAAAATGTAAAAAAGAAAGCCCGATGCGGGGCTCGAACCCGCAACCTTTTGATTGACCTTAGAAGATTAAGAGTCAAATGCTCTACCGATTGAGCTAACCAGGCTTGTTGAAATCCATGGAAAGGCGGCTAAAATATGTTTGCTACTTTGAAACTAGCTCTTTATTTCGCACTTCCTTCAGACCCGGTTTTTTGGTAAAACCAGCAATTTTCCAACACAATCATGTCTTCTCTATCAGAAAAAAGCGGTTTTGAGGGCTTACAGCAACATTAATAATCTAAAACTTTCTTTATGTAAAACGACACCGATCGAGGCCAGCTACAACCGATAGATGAAGTACGGGCTCTTGTCACCCATCTTCATGAGCTCTTCCTCACTCACATGATCCCATTTTCCTTCGGCAATCTCTTGCTTCCTCTTCTTGTTGACAGAAATGTAGCAAGCAGCGATCACTATGGCAACGAGCAACCCCATTCCAGCAAAAGCACAGCCCAAAGCATGGCCTAGTTTGAATTGTGGAGCATCTTGATTTCTGTAAAAGTTGGCAGCAAAAACTCCACTAAGATTTCCAAGTCCGATATGTGTGCCCATGCCCAAGGCTCTCTTGTATGATCCCGATAAGTTGTTAGATAGCCAGATAACCACGAGAGGGTAGGCGGCACATCCAAAGGAAATAAAGTACATACCTCCATAAACGGCACCGGGAGTTTTAACTGCATCAACACCTAAGCAAATGGCAAACCCAACGCAAATGCACAAACAATCGAAGATCAAGAAAGGAGCTCTATAGCCCGTTCTGCCCGAAAGCCATGATTGAAGCACACACATGCCTGTGGCGAGAACAAATGGAGGAACTCCCAAAAGCTGAGATTCTGTGGTGCTGTAACCCAAACTGTGGATAATGGTGGGACCAAAGAGAGAGACAGCATAAAGCGGAACATTCACACCGTACAAGGCCAAGAGTTGAAGCCACACTTGCCAGTCCTTTACCATAGCCCAGAGGTACCTTCTATCACGGGAGTCGTCCTCTGCTCTGACCACTTGAGGAACATCGTCTCCATCAGTCTCCTTCTTGATGACATTGGTAGAGTGTTTGACCTTGTGAATAATAAATCTGCGTTCCTTCTCTGTCATGAACTTACAATCTTTTGGATAAGATGGAAAGCAGGTGAAGGAGTAAACTCCCACAACAAATGTGAGCAAGCCTTCAAGAATGAAGATCCATCTCCAGCCATTGTACCCACCAATGCCTCTCATCTGAGCGATAGCGGCGGCCAAAAGACCCGAGAAAGCACCTGCTAAACTAGCAGCACTGAAAAACACAGCTTGTCTAACAAGAATCTCTTTCTTCAGGTAGTACATCGACAAAAGATAAGAAATACCCGGGAAAAGAGGAGCTTCAAAAATTCCCAAAAGGGCTCTGGTAGCCAAGAGCTGGTCGTAGTTAGTGACAGTCCCCATCAATGTCATGACAATCGACCAAATAACCATCGTTGTGGGAATATAGATGTTGGGCTTGACACGGTGCAAGATCATATTGGAGGGCATCTCCAAGACAGCATAGAAGACGAAGAAAATCAACAATGCCATGTTGAATTGGTTGCCAGTGAGACCTAAATCTTCTGGAAGTCCTTCAATCTTAGCATTTCCAATATTGCCTCTGTCCAAGAAACTGAGCAAGTACAAGACTGTGAAGAGAGGAATGAGGCGAAGGTCGAGCTTTCTGAGCAACTTCTTCTCGTCAATGTCTGAGAAGTCTTCTTCCTCCTCCTCATAAGAGTCCACACTAACTCTAGAAGCATCCTTCCTCACGGACTCGGAGTTGGCCGAAGCTTCTTCCACAAGAACAGTTGATTTTTCCTTTGGCGACATGATGAAGATTTCAAGCACGAAAAAACCTGCAATTTATACATATTACGATACGAGCATTTGCCTTGCCAAAAATGAAAGAGGAGAAGAAGCAAAGAAGTAGTTGCAGCTAGCGCACCCCGCGTGTTGATATTTCCACAATTCTCCGGAGTGAAGTGGAATTCGTGGATGCAAAAGATTATGCGGCAAAGCGCACGGCTGGCCGCCTCGAATTACGATCTAGGAAATAAAGAGGAATTTGATTCAAAGTGAAAGACTCCAGCTAATTGAATCATTTCCATTCTACTTGTCATCATAATGGGGCAGAGGGGAACCTCGTAAATGTGCTGAGCCAAGACAAGACAAAGCATGTCAGAGGTTGTCTCAAGATATGTCGCCCTTGACGAAAGTGCTTAAAAGTCTATTGCTTATCAGAAATGGTGGGGGTAAACTCCGAATCTTCCCCAGAACAAGTTCAAGGAGGGGGACTATATCCGTGAGGTGGGGTCCAGCCGTTGCATCTATGGACCCCTAAGAGGATGCAATTCCATCTCCGAGAGAACGGTAGTTTGTCTGATCTACAGTCTCTAAGATGTCCTTGAAATCCCTAAAGCCACAAAAGTTTTCTTCTTCAGTGTGGTGTTGAAGTTGGACTTGTAAGTAAATGCCAAGGATCAGCGATCCTCTCAGTGTGGGGTGTGTCAACTTCCCGGTCTCATCTCTGAGGGGAACCACATAAGTCGAGAGGCATAAGGCTGAGTTGAAGGCACAAAAGCAGCTACTTTTAGCGGGAAGTTGAGAAGTATGGAACGTCTGGATGTCGGTCTGATGGAGCTACGTGGGGTCTCGAGGATGGGGAGGAGCGCATATACGAAGATGTTGGGAAAGTGCAAACGACGGATCGATGTATGTTTAGCGAACATTAAGGCGAAGAATCAGGAGGAGCGGAAGACGATTAGTAATCACTTAGGCTGAAGAAAAGGAGGAGTAGGCATTTGTTGAGCTTTGGAGACGAGGTGACTAAATGGTAGTTGCCTACCCCGACATCGTGTTGACAGTTGGAATTTCACTTTTTATTTCTTCATACATTTTCTTGTTGAATCGTATTTGCTTATGTTAGCATTTTCTAAAGTTGCACTAGGTGAAGTGGTAATTCAAGAAGTGTAATTGCCTTGCTGTTTCGCAAAATGGCTGCGAAAAACGTAAAAGCTACCCAAATTGCGAATGCGCTCTGGGCTAAACCGCGTATTATCTGAATCCCCATAGATCTACTTCCTTCAATTACGAAAAAAAATAAAAATAATGGAAGAATACAAAGGATCATTTATTAACGACCCCAAATTGCTTTCCCCCAAATGTATAGATGTCTTCGAAAGCACGAACCTGCCGGACCCCAACTTGCATTAGTAGTTGCGGCACAACTCCGATGCATCGGCTTTACCAACTCTTGCATGATCAAGTTTTTTTTTCTTTGAACCACCTGATCATATACCTGAGCTAAATGCCTAGATATTCCAGGCAGCTAGCCCAAATAGCTTAATTTCTGCTTCGGGGAAAGTCCGAACTGGACGGCGGCTGATAAAACGTAGGTGCTGCATAGTGGAAGTATTGTCACCAGAGTCAATCTGACTCCGACCAACGGGGCCTTTCTTATCGATAAGAGATGTGCACGAGCTGCAGGGTCGAAGAGGGGGAGTTGTGGACTTTTCAAGCTCCAAAGAAGCTTTTTGGATTTTTTCCCAGTCGTTATCACAGCCCTCATCACCTCAGCCCATGACTCATTAATCAAGGGTAATCAAGGGAAGAAAACTTAGGCAAAGTCACGTGCGTGGTGGGAATCAGCGACACAGCTAGGGAAGAGAAAAAAACGGTTACTCATTCTTGCGTATCTTCTCAAAACCACACTGAAAAAATGTCAAATCCACAAGATATTGCTGGTACTTTCCAAAGAGCCTTGTCCATCTCAGAGTCAGGCTCCCCTCACGCTGTTCTGACTTCCCCTACTCAATCGTACTTGGCCCAGGTGGGAGGTATTAGCCTGAAGTCCACCAAGGCCTTGAAGCCATTCTCCACCGGTGACATCAAGATCTTGTTGTTGGAGAATGTCAATTCTACTGCCATCAACATCTTCAAGAACCAGGGCTACCAGGTTGAGTTCTACAAGACCTCATTGCCCGAGGATGAGTTGATCGAGAAGATCAAGGATGTGCATGCCATCGGTATCAGATCTAAGACTAAGTTGACTAGCAAGATCCTTCAGCACGCCAAGAACTTGGTCACCGTTGGTTGTTTCTGTATCGGTACCAACCAGGTTGACTTGGAGTACGCTGGTAAGGCTGGTATTGCTGTCTTCAACTCTCCATTCTCCAACTCTAGATCTGTTGCTGAGTTGGTTATTGCTGAGATCATCACCTTGGCTAGACAATTGGGCGACCGTTCTATCGAGATGCATACCGGTACCTGGAACAAGGTTTCCGCCAAGTGCTGGGAAATTAGAGGTAAGACATTGGGTATTGTGGGTTACGGCCACATTGGTTCCCAGTTGTCTGTTTTGGCTGAGTCCATGGGTATGAACGTTATTTACTACGACGTCACCATGATCATGGCTTTGGGTAACTCCAAGCAAGTTGACACTTTGGACGACTTGTTGCAGAGAGCTGACTTTGTCACTTTGCACGTGCCTGCCACAGCAGAGACCAAGAACTTGTTGTCCACTCCACAGTTTGCTGCCATGAAGGATGGTGCTTACGTTATCAATGCTTCCAGAGGTACTGTCATTGACATTCCAGCTTTGATTGAGGCTATGAAGGCTGGTAAGATTGCCGGTGCTGCTTTGGATGTGTACCCACACGAGCCAGCCAAGAACGGTGAGGGCTTGTTCTCCAATGAATTGAACGGTTTCGCCGAAGAGTTGTGCTCCTTGAGAAACGTTATCTTGACCCCTCACATTGGTGGTTCTACCGAGGAGGCTCAGTCCGCTATCGGTATCGAAGTCGCTACTTCTTTGACGAAATACATCAACGAGGGTAACTCTATTGGTGCCGTCAACTTCCCAGAAGTGTCTTTGAGAGATCTCGATTTGGACCAAGAAAACAGCGTCAGAGTGTTGTACATTCACCAGAACGTGCCCGGTGTGTTGAAGACCGTCAACAACATTTTGTCGAACCACAATATCGAGAAGCAGTTCACTGACTCTAGAGGTGACGTTGCCTACTTGATGGCTGATATCTCGGAGGTTGACCAAACCGACATCAAGTCCTTGTACGAGCAGCTAGAGCAGACTCCATACAAGATCGCTACTCGTTTGTTGTACTAAGCAGCATTGATATGACCCCATAGAAAAAGACATGATTAGTCTCGCCACATTTTAATATACCTACACGCAGATGAAAACAAGAATTAAAATATAATCGTAAATCGTCGACGGATACAAAGAAAAATACGAACAAAAACTCGTTCCGGCGAGCTTAAGTGGAGAACGGCTCTCTACTAATCTGCCTGCTGATCTCAGGATCCAACTCCAAGCCTTTCTCCTGATAGTAACGCTTCTGGTGCTCATACAAGAATGGCATAGGCTTGAGCTTCTCTCTAAGAATCCAAACTCTGAAGCACCAGAGAGCCTGTCTAGCACGGTAAATCGCATGCTTACGCAAGGACACTCCAAACACGGAATCCAATTCCTCCAAAGTAAGACCCTTGGTTTCTGGCAAAAAGAGGAGCACAAGGAACCAACCAACGATATTCCATGCGGCGTAGAAGCCAAAGGCACCAGTCACTGTGAAGGCGTTTCTCAAACGAGGCCAGGTGAAGGCCAAGATGAAGTTGAAGAACCAACATGTGGCTGTAGCGAAACCCATACCTAAATCACGAATGTACAACGGGAAAGCTTCGGCCGAGTAGGTGAACGGAACAGGTCCTTCACCGGAGGAATAAACTGCAGCGAATAGGTATATACCTGTCGCTACACCCGCTAGCTTGCCTTCTGTATTTTCGTCCGGTGTTAGGAAACTGAATCCTGCAACAAGTAAGAACATCGACATCAACGGGAAGGTACATAGCAATAAGTTCCGTCGACCAAAGGTATCAATGGTATAGAAGGCCGGGATGGCGAACAAGAAGTTGATCATACCGAAACCCCAAGAGGCCAACATAGCTTTAACCTCAGACAAGTTGGATTCAATGAAGATGGACGAGGAGTAGTAGGCGATGACGTTGATACCACAGAACTGCTGCATGAACATAACAATCCAGGCACCCAAGGCACCGTTTCTGTTTCTTCTCACGGTGAACATCTCCCAAAGTCTCTTCCAGTAAGGAATACCGTCAAAGGAGGACTCTTGCTTCAACAAAATGTACTGGTAGAAGTGGTCTCTAGCAGCAGCAATCTGGTCACGTCTCAAGATAGAAAGAGCCTCGAAAGCCTCCTGGTGTCTACCTTTACCCATAAGCCAACGAGGAGACTCTGGAACACCTGGCACTTGGAACAAGACAATGAACGCTGGGATGGAAGCAGAGCCCAACATCAATCTCCAATTCAAGCCACCAGCGATACCTCTGTCACCAACATGGTAGAAAGCCAAGGAGGAAACATAACCGAACATAATACCCACGGCGGTGAAAAACTGCCAGAGCATCACCAAAGAACCACGAATTGTATGAGGAGTCGTCTCAGCTGCATAGGCCGGCACTGTGGCAGACTTGACACCAACACCAAGACCCATACAGAAACGGGAAATGAACAAATGGTACCAATGCATACTGACGAAACCTTGCCAGACACAAGTGATTGCAGAAATAAAACAAGTCCAGAAAATAACCCACTTACGACCCATGGTTCTGTTCCACCAGTGGGAAGTCCAGCAGCAAATAGCGCAGCACAAGTATGGAGATCCGTTGATCAAGCCCTCCATCAAGTCTGCGTTTTTCATATCAGTGATTCCAAAAGCATCAGGGTAGAACAATGTAGCACCGTTAATAACCGACTGGTCCATACCTTGGACAGCGGCGGCCATGGAGCCTAAAGCAATAACCTCAACCAACTTTCTAGGAATGTGCCATTTTTTGGTCACCTCCAACGTCAATTGTTCCTTCTCGTAGTCCGTCAAGAAATCCATGTTGCCAAAATCGGCCGGACATCTAGCCAATGCAGCCGCACGAGCGAAAAGGTCCTCATCCAAGTTGTATTCAGCTGCATATTCCTTACCCATCTTCATGGTTTCCGCTTCGGTGTAGTGAGCAAGAACGTTACCACGTTGACCAGGCCTGTCAGTGGCCATGGCCTTATAGGAATTCTTCAGGGAGAGAGACGACGACAGCATCTCCACTGCCGGCTTCTCAGCGTCTGCGATCTCTACTGTAGGGTCTGGAGCAGACATGATCGGTGGGTAGGAACAAGAGGCGAGAGGACGTATTTATAGTGGTTGTGAGCGGCCGGGCCCATTCTCGGATGACTAGAGCCACGGCATCTGGGGAACAAAGGCGTCTGTGCATTTCTCCACGCTAAGAAAAATGCCAATCCTTAAACGCTTCGACGTGTGGTTCCGAGGGGGTGTTATGAGCGAGGGTTTGCATCCAGAGTCAGTGGGGGCGGGGCAGCCGTGGTCGGAGGCGGTCTATAATCAATCCAATTTGGATAACGATGAAAAATGGCCTTCTTTACATTCAGCTCAGCTAAATTTCATCCCCTCCGTGGCCTGTTCAGGTGGTCTCTGATGAATTATCAACAGTGGTTCTCCAGGTTTCGCAGCCGCGTACACAGTACATACCATCCGTTGCTAAACCACGTTGGTCTTGGCAGCCTTGGCTCTGAAACTGGAACTGATGCAGGGACAAGATTTCCCCGGCGGGGCATCAGAGTTGCGGAACTGTGACGCCATTTCATTGTTGACTGCTTGTATGGGCAGGATTTTTGCAAATGACCGTCCCGCTCAATCTGGCGTGGCTGCAAACTACACCCTAGTACGCACTACGCTTGTATTACTAACACAATAATATCACGCAAACGCCTTGTAGTTTTTCTCAATGTATTCCTGGAGGACATGGGCATTTCCGGTTGGGATTCTGTTGAGCTCCTTTCCGTTTCTGAAGGAAACAAATGTAGGAATTGAGTACACATTGGCCTCCTTATTGACTTTGTCCTTCTCCTCGTCCTCCTCGTCCGTGCCTTGGATTTTGTAGAAACGGGCCTTGGGATATTCATCGGAAAACTTGTCGTAGTATGGAGCCACTGCACGGCATGGTGGACACCAGGTTGCAGAGAATTCCACAAAGGTGAGTGCCTCACTCAGCTGGGCTATTATTTTGTGGTACGCCTCACGGTCTTCAAAGTACTCTACCGTCATTGCTGTACGATTTGTGAGCAGATTTCAAGCGGAATCAATGGGGCCTTGATCTATTCTAGAACGCACTGGGGCTGAGTTTCGGAATATGCTTTATCTAACTAGGTTTCAAAGCCGGTCTTGCTAAAGTCTGAATTGGCCAAGAAGCGGTGATCGGTGTATTGCCTGAGAATGGTGTAGCTAGAGCTATTTCCGATCGGAGCTGTTTCGAAAAATAAGCTTTCTGCAACGGATTTTCAGGCTCGAGGCTCGAGGGGTTTTATATACCGCCGGGTGTGGCTCGCTGATAAACCTCGCGATAAGCACCACAATTGGTCCTAGTATTCAAAGACTTGATCACCTGGAACGCTGACTCTATGGATTCTACGGAGGAAGCACTTCCGAGCCAGTTGCAGCCATGCGGGTGGGGCACGATTTCTTGGACAGTGGATTTACAAAAATTCTTGGTTTTGTCTCAATCGAGTAAGCGAGATAATAACGCAGATGGAATCGCACCCTCCCCTACACGGCTGCAAATGCACCTTGGCGTGCGAGCTAGCGATCCGGAAAATCTCCCTAAGTGCCGAAGCTTTGGTTGCAAAGTTGGGTTACGAGACATGGATAACGCCATTTAGGCGATGTGCGTAGGGAGTAGTTCTGCGATACGCGGACGTTCACGCGACTTTAGGGATTTGGTATTTTTGGATTTTGTAGGATGGAGGGGGGAGTTGCGGCTATGACGTCGGTGGTGGGGTCCAGAACGGACAAGAAAGAGGACGTGACATCAATGAAGCAGCGGCTTTAGCGGTAAGGCGGGCATCGTAGAGTTGCTCTAGGTAGTAGGGTGATGTTGCGGGTGTGTTGGAATCGTCTGGGATATTGTGACTTTGGCTGCAAATGGGTGCTATATTTGGATAGGTTTTCAAGGTGGTGGATTTGTAGGAGGTGCAACAAGGTCAATTCTAAACAGGCTTGTGTTTGACTAGTTTTGGGCCGCTTTGTAGTACCACCTTCGCTATAGGGTTGGGCTTATCGATCTCTTCGCTGAAGCGGTCGCTGCATGGAAACAGTGTCTTCATTTCTTCAGAGGGCACTTGCTAATTCCACTCAAAGTTCACTAAGCGCTTGTCTCCGACCTTAAACAAACTCTAACCATGCTGACCTCTCATTACTCCCGTCTGTCAACGTTCGCCTATTGTAGAATTGCATAGGCGGTGGTGTTCTGAGACATGTCAAGAAAACCTGCCATAATGCGCAAAAGCGATCGAAGCCAGTGTTGGTCGGCAAAAGTAGCCGTCGAAAAGACAATAACATGTAGAATTGTTCGTTTCATAGTGGACATGGAGGGTGGACTTTTAGCCTTTGTGAATCCACCAAACTGGCATTCTCAGAACAAATTAGAACCGAAGGAGGGCGAATTTAATGGTGAAGAGAACTGCCTTTATCTAGGTAGCAAATAAAATATCGGACTTTACTTGTTCAAAATCCATCTTTAGTATTTCCATGTTGCCTTACATTTGTCATCTCGCAACCATGATACCGAGCGCTGCATCAACCCCAGATACTTTCAAAAGACCAGATGCAAATTTAAACTGAAGCATTAAATACCTCTCCTGTGAATATAAGCTTTTACCTCCAAATCATTATTTATCGCCACCCAATGGCTCTTGATGGAGTTCTACCATGTTCTGTGGTCGTGCGCAGCATAATGTGGCGATAGATATCCACCGAGTCTCAACACTCACTACTACATACTTGATCCAACACAATCTCCAACAAACAATGGCGTTAGTTTCTGCTGCGCCATACTTGGCCTTGCTCTCAGAGCAGGACCCATCCTTAAAGCTGTATGCCTTATCGTCATTGAACGAGGTGGTGGACCAGCTTTGGGCTGAAATCGCCAACAATCTTCAAGAGTTAGAGGATCTCTACGAGGATCCACTGTTCGAAAAGCGTTCTTTGGCTGCACTTGTGATCTCCAAGGTTTACTACAACTTGGGTGATTACGATGCTTCTGTGAAGTATGGTCTTCGAGCCGAGAACGACTTTGATTTTGAGGAAAAGTCACAGTACATCGAGACCATTGTATCTCAATGCATCAACATATACTCCAAATTATCGCAAAAGAAGTACTTGGGTGAAGAGGCAAAGATCAGTCCTCAGCTCACCTTGATCTTCGAGAAAATGGTGGCTAAATGTGTCGCAGCAAACGACTTAAAGCTTGCCTTGGGTATTGCTTTGGAGAGCTTCCGTCTTGACATCATCAAAGACATCATCACGAGGGAGACTATCCGTGATGGTGAGTACGGCTTGGCTTTGATCAATTACGTTTTGGTTTGCGCTAACTCCGTTGTGTCGAACGGTGTGTTCAGAGTCGACTTGTTGAACACTTTGATTGACTTGTTATTGTCATTGAAGGGCCACCAGGACTTCTTCACTGTTTTCAAAATCATTATTCAGTTGGGTGACTCTAACTTGGCTGTTCAAGTCTTCAAGCAGCTTATCGCTAAGGACGAGAAATTGATTGCATACCAGGGAGCCTTCGACTTGGTCAGCTCTGCTTCCCAGGAATTAGTCGAGTCTGTGGTTAACAAATTGACTGCTGACGAGTCTTTTGACAACACCTTGCCAGTTCAGGCAAGATTGCTTCACGTTCTTTCTGGTGTCCCCACATGTGATTTGGACATCACCTTCTTGTTCAAGAACAAGAATATCGATCTCACAATTTTGAACAAGACAAAAAATCTTTTAGAAGGCAGAAACTCCATTTTCCACTCTGCTGTTACTTTCGCAAATGCTTACTTCCACATGGGTACAACCGACGACTCTTTTTTCAGAAGAAACTTGGAGTGGCTCGGAAAGGCTACCAACTGGTCTAAATTCTCGGCTACGGCCGCTCTTGGTGTTATCCACAAGGGTAACTTGTCACAAGGTCGTAATATCTTGAAGCCATATTTACCAGGCTCTAACGGCGCCTCCCACACCAAGGGTGGTTCTTTGTTTGCCTTGGGTTTGATCTTTGCGGGTCATGGCAGAGAGACTATTGACTACTTGAAGCTGTTCATTGACGACCACGGTAACGCTGCTGGCAGCCATGACACTGATGTGATGTTGCATGGTGCCTGTCTCGGAAGTGGTGTTGCTGGTATGGCAACTAACAGCGAGAGTCTCTACGAAGCATTGAAGGTTGTCTTGTACTCTGACTCTGCTGTTTCTGGACAAGCAGCTGGTCTCGCAATGGGTTTGGTAATGTTGGGTTCTGGCAATGAGGAAGCTGTTAATGACATGTTCACCTATGCTCAAGAGACTCAGCACGAGAACATCATCCGTGGATTGGCCATCGGTATCGCTTTGCTCAACTACGGACAAGAGGACAAAGCTTTGCCAATAATAGATAAGCTCCTCGACCAAGAGAGCCCAATCTTGAGATATGGTGGTGCTTTCACCATCGCCTTGGCCTACGCCGGTACTGGTAACAACGGAGCTATCAAAAAGCTTTTGCATTTTGCTGTCTCAGATCCATCTGATGATGTGAGAAGAGCCTCGGTGATGAGTTTGGGATTCTTACTTGTCCGTGACTACCACGCTGCTCCACAAATTGTCGACTTGTTGTCGCAGTCTCACAATCCACACGTTCGTTATGGTACTGCCATGGCCCTAGGAATCTCCTGTGCCGGTAGAGCTTTGCCTGCTGCCATTGAGGTCTTGGAGCCATTGACCAAGGATGCTGTTGATTTTGTCAGACAAGGTGCTTTGCAAGCCTCTGCCATGATTTTGATTCAGCAAAACGAGAATCTCTACCCAAAGGTTAAGGAGTTTACCAGCCTATACGCAGACACTGTGAAGAACAAACACGAAGACGCGTTGGCTAAGTTTGGTGCCGCCACTGCTCAGGGTATTATTGACGCAGGTGGTAGAAATGTCACCATTAATCTTGAAAATGCCAACACGAACACATTGAATGTTAAGGCCATTGTTGGTCTTGCAGTGTTCGTGCAGTCGTGGTACTGGTTCCCATTGGCACACTTCTTGTCCCTCTCCTTCGCCCCCACAGCCATTATTGGCATAAAGGAGGACCTCAAAGCGCCTCAGTTTGAATTGAACGTGCACAGCTCTCCTGAATATTTCCAATATCCACCAAAAATAGAGGAGGCCAAGGAGAAGCAGCCGGACAAGGTTGCTAAGGCTGTGCTTTCTACTACTGCCAAGGCCAGAGCTAGAGCTAAGAAGCAGCAGGCTAAGAAGGAAGAGGAAGATGGCAAGGCTGATGACATGGATGTTGACGAAGACAAGAGTGTCAGGAAGGAAGACGCCAAGCCAGTCAAGACTGAAGAAAAGAAGGATGAGAAGGCCGCTGACAAGAAGGAGGACAAGTCCGACGAAAAGGCCGAGAACAAAGAAGGCAAGAAGGAGGATAAGGATGAGAAGGAGGAAGACCAGCCCATTGCCAACGAGCAGGTGGCAATCCGCTACTCTAAGACGCCGTACAAAATCAGCAATTTGTCCCGTGTTTTGCCCGCCCAGGTTAACTATGTGCTGTTTATTAAGGATGACCGCTTTGTGCCCATTCGCCGTCACCGCGGTTTCGGCGGTATCATTGTCTTAAATGACACAAAACCGAACGAAAAGGTGGAGATCATCAAAACTGTGAGACAGTTAAATATGACCGAAGCGCCTCTTCCAGAGCCATTTACATTGAGTGGCGAAGACCTAGAAGAAGATTAGGGGGGTTTCCGAAGAAAGCGGCTACATGCTGAAGACGAACACGAAGAAATGGTGTTATAGTTATACACCAAATATAAGAATGCGACGCCAAGCAGGAGTGGCGATTTGTAGACCCCGCCGCAAAATGAGGCTTTTCAAGGCTCTAGCCTATTCTAGATGTAATCCGGCGGTCCCGCTTATCTGCTCGCAGAGCTCGGGTGCAGGCCGTGTAGGGCCCTAAGTGAGATCTGTATCTTTTTTCTCTCTCAATTTACATTGTTCCTTATTAGCGTGATCTGGACAAAAAAAGCCAGTTAAAACCACCCCCACAGCCCTTCGTTTGAATGTCCTCAGAAATGCTACTTTCTTCATTTGTTCGCCACGGCACTCTTCGGGAGGATGGCATTCATCTAAATGGTCCGTCTGAGTCTCAGAAGACCCTGGCTTCAGAATTATGTTGTGTAGGGACCAACGCAGATCCCGGAACCGACTATCATATTCCGTTCGAGGATGTCCTTTGGTGTGAGCTTGCCAACGATGATACGGTGGTGAAAATTCAATATGCTAAGAAGACAGGCAAATCGCTCACGGTGCAAAACATGCTCGTGGACGTGTCGTATGCTGCTGAAGACCATGACGTTGCAAGCATTATTTTGAAAAAAGCTTATAAAGGCGGTATTGTATCCCCACGAGTGTTGGTGGTGCTCAATAGCTTTGGAGGACAAGGTAAGGCTCGGGACATATACAAGGAACAGATTTTACCCGTGCTTGAAGCTGCCAATGTTGATATCACATACCAAGAAACTACCCACCTGGGGCATGCCGTGGACATCGGGCGTGAAGTCCAGGCGAAATATGATGTGATTGCATGTTGCTCTGGTGATGGTATCCCTCATGAGATAATCAACGGCATCTATGAAAGGAATGATGCCGAGGAGATTTTTGATAAGATCGCCATAACACAGCTTCCGTGTGGCTCTGGTAATGCCCTCTCGTTGAGTACGCACGGTACAAATGATGCTGCTGTGGCAGCGTTCCGTATGTTGAAGTCGGAAAGAACGAAAATGGACGTGATGGCTGTCACTCAAATGGAGGATGGCGTCGAGCGTACGAGGATCAGTTATGTCTCTCAGGCGTATGGATCGATTGCCGACGCGGATATCGGTACGGAGAAGTTGAGGTGGATGGGTCCCATCCGTTTCGAAATCGGTGTCGCTCACAAACTCATCACCAAAGCACAGTATCCGTGTGATCTCTGGGTGCACTATGGTTGTGAAGGAGACGAAGTAAAGGACCATTTTGAACGTCATCGCAAGGGTCTTGCCGTGGAGCACAGCAAACAGAAGTACCCCAGTCTAAGTGAAGACCCCCCTGCTGAGTGGGAGAAAATGCAGCAAGATATCGCAGACAACGTCAACATCTTCTATATTGGCAAGATGCCGTACATGTCCGACCAGGCCCAGTTCTTCCCAGCTGCTTTGCCGCAAGATGGTATGATGGATATGTTGGTCACCAACGCCAAAGCTCCCTTGCTTCACATGTTGAGTTTGTTCACGAAGATCGACCAGGGTGGACATGTCCACTCTAACGAGGTTATCCACGCCAAGGTGCACGGCTACCGTTTGGTGCCACGCGTGGACGACGGAAGGAAGCACTACATCTCGGTGGATGGTGAGAACTTTCCATTACTGCCAATCCAGGTTGAGGTGGTCCCTCGAGCAGTCACAGTGTTGCTTCAAAATGGTCTCTATGTTGACACAGCCTGGACCACCAACTGAGCTGCCCGAACGTTGCAAAGCCACGAAATTGACTTCAAGCCCCTGAGCTGAATTGGTGTCGAGAACAGGCAGTGTCTCGAAGGTGTCTCCCATAATGATGATGTAGAACAGATTAGAACGGTCAAAAGACCTAATGACAGATAATGAACGAGTATTTAGGAATGGAATCCACAATTGGCAGCCGTGTAGATTATGAGCCTTTCATCTGAGTGACAGAAACCAAGCTGGGGGATAACCAAGTCCTCCCTCCTAGACTTCCATCAAATCTATCTTCCAAAATTCATATTCGTCGGGCTCTCTAAGTAAAACAGAAAAAGCTACAAAAATTCCCGAGCAGGGACGGAAACCGTGTTTTTATAGCGACCGTTTGCACCTGCTTTGGCCGTCTCCAAGCCACATGTATACATGCCACAATCCCAAATTACTCGCCGGATCTCCCGTTTTGCGTTCAGACATACCCCAATGTGCTTTTCGGAAAACGCATTTTATGCTCGGTAGACATTACACAAACAATGAAGCAAACTTGGGGGAAGTCTCACTGAAAGCGCACCCGTACTACCCGGTTCGGTGACAGCGTGAGTGAGCCTCTGAACGAGGCGGGCTAATTGGCTCGAGAAGAAGAAGATCAAAGAGACAGAGAACGCAAAATGCTCGATAATATGTAAAACTTTTTTTTTTTTTTTTTTGCTTTGGGTGCCACGGTCCCAAACGTTGGGTGTCTCACATTTGCAAAATTTCCACCCGGTGGTCGTGCAATTTTTCACTCATAACCACACCACCCCTGGGATTTCTAGAAACACAGCAATCTTGCACAACACACCCCGGTTTGGTGCCCCGAGTGTTCTCTCCGTTTTCTATCTGTGCCCCAAGTTTCGTCCGAATACGGCTCAGGGTGGACATTGTGCAACGCCAAGACTCGGTGGAGAATAAGGCGTGATGTAGCGTTTAGGCGATGATTTGCAACCACCATCTGGGCGGCCCTGTCGGGACATATTGTGAACAAAAAAAACGAATGTTTTCTTCTGAACGCAAAATTCGAACGTACCAGCAAGCAAGAATGCCGTTTTTTGTACCTCCAGCAAAATGTACCGCTTCTACTGCCCGCATTGGAGTGGTTGACTTGGCTAATCTGGGCACGTCTTATCGTGCGACAGCCTTACTAACATACTCACCACGTCCCCTCAACGTCACGGTTTCCCCGTATACGAACATTTCTTGTCGTTTCTCGACCCCAGGCTCCTTCCCCGATTTCCCCTTTTTCTTCGCCTGTTTGAACAGGTGCTTTTCTTCATTTTACTTATTTTTTTTTTTCTAGGCCCCGCCTCTTATCTAGCAAGGTCCTGCACTGGCCAACATCGCTCTCACCACTTCTCCCTCCAACCACCTTTCTTCTACACCATGTTTGAACGTATCAAGAAGAAGGTGTCTCGTCGACTGTCGGAGCCGGCTATATTTGATCTACCTGCCCTGCCTTTTGCCGGCAGACGGGCCCTGACCTCGACAAACCGCACCGTGGTGATCCTGGACGAACCCCATCCTCGCCATAGCGCTCTGGTTTCCAGACTTCGGGCTCTGTCTGTGCTGAGCCAGGCTCCCGACGCGCCTAGGAGACTGAGACTGGTGCTGAAGAAGCAGGCTCGAGAACTCGTCAAGTTTGAGACGTCGCAGGTTGTCGGAAAGAAGCTTCTATCGCTCTTGAGTGATTTGGGCCTCCAACAGCCTTTCCCGCTTTCCACCACGAACAACTCCACCCTGGGACCTTTGCTGAAGCTGATACGCTGCTTCGTGGCAAACACAAACGATTGCATCTACTTGCCGCCAGCGCTGCTGGCTAGTTTCACATATGACGATGTGGAAAACGGCGGGGCTCATGTCAACGAGGACATCGACACCGCTGCTTCGGATGCCCCGGATGGGCATGATACGACAGAGGAGCACGATGATCACGATATCTCGGGCCCCGAACATGCCTCGTTGCCACTTCCAAGTCACGACGATGATTCTGCACGCCGAGCCTTTGAGCTGAAACTTCAACCTTTTAATTCTCCTAATTATCTCAGCCTGAAGATCGACTCAGACGCCCCCATTCCGCATGTTTTCGCCTTCATCATAGAACTCACGAAGGAAACGTCTATAAGGGAGGTGCGCTTCGAATTCCAGCTGTGCGTGCTGACGTTGTGGCCCACCGGTGACCCTCATAACCACTATCACCATAAAGAAAAATATAAGATCGGCCAGTTTGAGTGGCTCTCGTCCTTAAGCGATGCTGACTACTACATCAACACCCAGAATTCCAACGATGCCAAGATCCGCAAGATCGACCCCAACGAGCTCGCAAAGCGCTCAAAACGTTACCGCTTGGTGAAGGTGAGAGATTTGGCGGATGACAACGACCCAATCAATAACTCGAAGAAGTCATTTTCCCTTAATCCTGAGTTCACTTCTCTGGCTTTCTCGGATGCGATGTCAATTTCATCTTCGGGCATTCAGGAAAACGCCAAAGCTGGTCTTTACGTTTTCCTTTTGCCTCTCATCTTTCCATCACATATGCCTGCTTCTGTCACCTCCATCAACGGTTCGCTCAACCACCGCTTAACCATGAACATGATCAAAATGAGCGACAAGCTCAATAGAAAAACAAGGGTATACTCCTACTTCAATCTTCCTATGGTCAGGACGCCGCCTTCACTCGCAAACTCTGTTGCTGATAAACCTATTTACGTCAACAGGGTTTGGAACGATGCCATGCATTATATCATTACTTTCCCCAAGAAGTACGTGCCTTTAGGTTCCGAACACACTATCAATGTCAAGCTCATCCCGTTGATGAAAGATGTGATTCTCAAGCGTATTAAATTTAATGTGCTAGAGAGAATCACTTACGTGTCTAAGGACCTCAAGCGTGAATATGAGTACGACAGTGACGACCCTCACTTGATCAAACCTCATTGTGAATTGAAGACACGCGAGAGGGTTGTTCATCTTTGTGAGCTCAAGACAAAGTACAGAAGCAATTATTCAGCTTCTGCTGAGCCTTTCAAGGAGGAAGTTATCAAATGTCCTGATAATAACTTGTTATTCTCGTGCTATGAGCCTAAGGACGATCCAGCCCTGGATGACCCTCTAGCCAAGCCAGAGAAATCAACAATGATAGCTTCTCCCCTTGATATCAACATTGCTCTTCCATTCTTGACCACAAAAGCTGACAAAGTCATGATGACCGCTAATCCCGATGAGGCAAAC